CCGCGCCTGGCTCCTCGCAGCCGCGCCCGGGGCTGCAAATGGCGCCCGCCTAGGACGCCGTGCAGCCCCGGTAACCGTCGGCTCCCAGGGGCAGCTGCCCGCGGGCCGTCACGGCACACGGACCCCCGGCGCCCTCGGAGAGCGCGGAGCCCGGGGCCGTCCCTCGCTGCCCCTCGCAGCAAGGCTCGCTCCGGGGCCGTTTCCGCCCCCCGAATCCCGACGCCCTGCCTGGCCTGCCGGCGTGCTAGAGCCGCCACTCACCGGGCTGGGTCCTGCGGGCGGCCGCCGCTGAGCCGAAGGGAGCGGGCGGTGGATGCGGGGGGTCCCCGGCCCCGCGTCGGGGCTCGCCGGTGGCTGAAGGCGACGCGCTGGTCCCGCAGCCCCGAGCCCTGGAAGCCCGAACGTGAGAGAAACAAAAGGTATTTGCTGACGTGGGCGTTGGACAGAGACGCCCGAGGGCTGGGGACACAATTAAAGGGGCAACGCACCGATTGCAGGCGCAGCCCAGCGGCTTTCCTCTGCCTGCTCGCCCTGCAGTCGGGGCTGCTCGCCTCTTCCCACACCCACATGCCGTCCGGGAGGGGATGTGATGCCCTAGATGCTTCCTTCTCACACCTTTATGTACAGCAGGGGCCTTGATGACCCAAATCCTTCTTTAACGCGCCTGCAGCTTCCTCAAAAGGAGATGTAACGTCTTCTTTTGTTTTTTTTTTTTCCTGTTAATGTCTGTTATCTTCTGAAAAAAGCACATCTGAAATCCTAGTACCTTAGCCTCTCACCTTCTCTCACTCGAAGTTTGATACCTTTCTCCTTCCTTTTCTTGCCACCAGGGTCTTTTCTGTGCTCTTGACACCCCAGATATTTCTCATAAATACTTGTTTTCCCGTGGGAGCCATTCTGCCTTAACTGTATCCTTTGTATCCTTTTTAGCCTTCCCTTCCATAAACTTAAGACATTCCATCTTGAAACAATTCATGTTCCTTTCCCCACTATAGCAAAATGGGAAAGGCATCTAAAGACTCTTTCCTCTGATTGTAAGAAACATTCACCCAGTATATCATTTATTCATATTCAATTTATTTTCATTTATATTGCAACAATATTTTTCACCGGCTTAATTCCCCCTTTTTAACAAACATCCATAGCTTTGTAGATTCCATCTCCTTTCAAATGCAGGCCACACTTTTAAAATCTTTCATGAGACCCGTTCTGCTTGCGTAAGACTCCACTGTCTACCTGACCAGTTTAAATTAATCATTCTTGAACATGAAAGCAATTGGAATTTACACAGTATTTTGCATGTATCTTTTCAGTCCACTGGGCAATGGTGTTAATTATCAACTGAAACATTTCAATCTGATGTACCTACAACTGACCAGCCTTTTCCAGCCATGGCATATTGCCAGTCCGTAGTCATCCTCTGATCAGTGTCACGTGCAAATTTCATGTAATTTATCTTGCTTTTACATCAAAGTCTAAAGACTGTATTAGCAGAACCGGTTCCAAAGTCAGCCCAGAGGACCATTAGAGCATCTTTTTCCTCATCGTTCCCCTTTCAGGGTTAGACAACACAACCCTAGCACCCAGCTTCTCACAGCTCTTACCATTAATTAATAGTGCACACCTGCACACTGAATACTGTATGCAGCCCCGGGGTCACTCATTTCAAAGTGTGTATACAGGAACCTGTAATGCTTCAGGGAGGGAAAAGAGAAATGATCAAAGTCTGGCACAGCTTTGTACAAATGTCTGTAGAATGAGAGATCTCTGAGCTAGGAAAAAAAGTTAAGCAGGTGAGGTAAATGGAAATCTATAAAATCATGAGAGGATCAATAGGGACTGATTGTTCATTGCTTATTTCAGCCTAAGAGGAAGGTGATAGCAAATGAAGCTAGCAGGTGGCAGGGTCAGAGCAAACAAGAGGACGTGGTTCTTTGTATATCATGTAGTTCGGCACTGGAACTGCTTGCTATAGGCTGTTGTGGATGCAAAATGTTTGTGAGTGTTACAGGGCTGTACTAGACATGGTCATGAGAGAGACTCGAGAGCTACATGTAGAAATGTCCTGTGCCTTCAGAAGTCCCCAAGTCACAAACTGTAGGAGACTGGAAGAGTATTCAAGTAAAAATATTGCCTGTCGTGTTCTTCCATACAGCAACCAATTTTGACACAAAAGTCTTGAGTTGGGGAATTTAATTGAATTCAGTTTATTGCCAACTAACATAACCTTTCAATTACTGATTCCGGTATTGAGAAATAAAGACGACAGACAATTAAACAATTACTTAGTTTGTTTAATACAAACTAGAAAATTTATTTGCAGTATCAGTTTTTAATGCCGCTTGAATTCATTCCTCTACAGTTTGATTTTGCCTGTCAATTCAACTAAGTAGCACCTCTTTTTATATAACATTCTACATATTTTTTCAGATCCATGCCCAAATTACTTCGTCTGCTGAAAACTTCCTTTTGAAAAGAACTATTTGTAGGTATTTTCTCTGTTTGACTTAGCTGACTTTTCAGGTAATTGGTACTTTCAGCTGTATATCGGAGAGTGCTTTGCTTGGTAGTTTGTATCAATATTAATAGGACTTCAAGGGTTCTCCATCTGCTAGGAACAGGTAATAGAATTTAAAACGTAGAAAAAAATGCAGTGGTATCTAGAGTAGCTTAATTAGAATTTTTAAAGATGTTGCAAGTGCTTTACTCAGAGCACTTCAGAAACCGTGCCCTCGAGTCTGCGCAGTGCAGCTAGGAATGGCCATGGAACAGACTTTGGTTTTCTCATGCATAGGGACTGATTTCATCCTGTTTTGCACAGTAATACATCACAAACAGTCCACTGATTCCAGAAATGTATTTAGTTGTTTAATCTATTTTTTTGTTTTGTATTTCTAAATTTTAGAATTATGGTGTCTAGCCAAGACAGTTCCACTTGAAGTTGAGATATTGTTTGGAGAGCTTATCCAATGGGAGTAAACTTGGCAGCTATGTGGAGGAGGTGCTTCTCACAGCAACAGGAGGAGTGTTGCAAAGCAAGACTAATAGTCTGCTTTTCAGAGAACAATTTACAAATTACTTTAAAAAAAATGACATTGTTAGTGCTGATACAAAAATTATTAACATAAATTTTGCATTGTCTTATTTGGGTTTCGGTAACAAAATATAATTAACAGTAACACCGGTTAAAAGATCTTCCTTAAACAGTTTTCCTTAAAACAAATGTTTCTCAAAAATCACAGAGTTCAGTTATGGTATGTTTTCTGACTTTAAATATATAGCGATATTTCTGGCCAAAGAAAACTCAAGAGCGTATACTAGAACAACTGACGTACCATAGTTCGAAGACTGACATGCATTGATTCACAAGATTAATTTGTTAGAGTTGCAATGGATTTTTCCCAAATGTGTGAGTGAAGTAATATGCATTTACCAAGGGTTTTATTTTAAATTTTGAAAGTATAAGTAAAATAGCATATAACCTTGGGCTAAAGCAACACAATTTATTTCCTTTTTCTACCACTGAAGAAATAGCTGCATTGGTTTTTTCCACTGGATCAGAAACGTACCATGCTTGGGGAATTAATTAGAATTAATTAGTTGCTGGGTTTTTTTTTTTGCGCTGGATCTAAAAATGCATTTAATGAGAAAATGTGGACAGCAGGAATTTTAATCCATGCTCCTGCAAAAATTGTTGCTTTTAAAATAGTGTTATACCTCTTAAAGGAAAAGTAATTTTCTGAGAATATTTTGTTTGTTTAAAAGCTTTCAAGAAACTTTGTGTGACATAAAAATACATATTTTTTAGTAGTTCATAGATGAGTTGCTAATCGTTCCATGTCAGAAAACTTTTGAGTGTTACAGGACCTAATGCCTTGAGGAATACAAAGATATTGAGGAATATGCAAGATAAGACCGTATCCCGTCATAATGAAAGAGCTTTTTAAGTTACACAGACATGGTCTGGAGATAGGGGAATAAGCAAGACACTAGAAATGAATTAAGAATGA